ATTTCTGAGAGATTTACAAAACACAAACCCATAACAGCCCTGGCAAGCACAGACACGATGGTCAGGCATGCACGTATCCTGGCTACGAGCATCGCATCTCGGAAAATAGGGATACGCTCTTGGCACCAGCTCCTGCCCCCACAGAGACACAAATAAAGATTAGTAAGTCAAAGAGGGGAAATCTGCTCCTTCTACTGTAGCTACTTTCCTTCCCTGCCTCCTCGAAAGTGAGATCTCTTTACTCGCTTGTCACTTATCTCCCTCTCATCATCTGGTAGGGGTCTCCAGAAAGCTTTGATTGGTGTTGACACCCTTCTCCAAACCGCTCAGCCCTCCTCTTGCTCTCACTCTTCATTTTGGGCCCACGCATTAGTGTCTCAGCTCTATTCAGTCTCCTGAGCAAGGCTCCTGCCAGCCCCCATAGGCCACTTCTGCATAGGGGGAATCGCTCCCACGATGGGAGGCTGCTGCAGATGGTCCTTGATGGGGCACCTACCAAAGCCAGGTGCCTACCAAACATGGCTGTGCCCATGGAAATGGCCCAGCTTTCCCCAGCATGCCGTGCTTGGCCAGAGCTGCATGGAACAGGTGGAGGGAGCACAGCGGACCCCAGTGAAGTAGGACTTCCCCAGGATGCCCCATCCCCAGCTAACCCCAGGCTGTGCTGGGACACCTCGCATGCTCGGAGCATCTATTTCCCACAGAAACATCACCTGGAAAATGGCACGCAGCTCCAAATAGCAGGGTGAACATGCAACCTTGTCACACGCTTGCCCGGAGAGGGGTCCCTGTGCCTTCACTGCTATTACCCGGGGAGTGTGCTGCAGGCAGCTCCATAATAAATGAAATACAGGAGCAGGATGATTAATAATCATAACAGAAAAGCATACGCTGTAATTATCCACCTTTCAGAAAGCTGATTAATGACACTGCTCGGGGGTGTGCAGAGCACTCGTTCTGGCACACAAATTCACTCTCGCCTTCCTGGCCTGAACCAGGCCCTGGGTTCATCCCAGCAGGAGAAATGAGAGCCAGACCTGGGTCCAGCCAGCAGCGTCCAGGCAACTCCCTCCCTGCAACTTCAGCTGTGGATCTTGCAGCAGCCTGAGTAGAAGCTGCTTCCCCACAGGCTTTGCCCCAGCAAATGACCTTGTTTGTCCACCTGGTCCAGTGCTTCACCCCTAGCTAGATCAGGTCATCCTCATTAGTTCATAAAACTCAGCATTGCAACGTGATTGATGCCTCTAATCTAGTTGCCTGCACTAGATCATTGATGGCAAAGTCTACTGCTAATTCCTTATCTGAAGCACCATAGCTCTGTGGTGCAAGGTTCTGTGCAAATCGAGGACAGCAAGGCAGTCCCTGCAGAGGATCCGGCCTCCCCAGATGCTCAAATGACAGCAGCTTCCAGGCTTGACCCTAAGGAAAGATCCCATTCCTGAGCACGCAGCCCCACGGGGAACTGCTGCCCATGAGCAGGGGGGGTGCTGGGGTGCTCAGCATGTCAGCGAGCTTGGCTTCCTGGGGGGCAGCCAGCCTCCTCCTCGCCAGCCTCACTGCTTGGACCTTGGCTGCTGGAAACAGAGGGTGCAAGGGTGAGGAGGGAACGGGAGACGAGAGAGAAGGGGCCTCCATAGCGCTGGAGGAGGGTCAGGGAAAAGGCAGGCTCGTCTCATCCTTGCATGCTGCTGACAGCCAGACGCTGCTGAGGTGCTCTGGTCAGGAGGGAGATGCATCATGCTAGAGGGTTTAATTTGACCAGACAGCTGGGATTCGTGGGTAGGATGAACAGACTGACAGGCCAGACTGATGGACAGATGTTCGTTCCAAGGACAGCGTGAGAGAGGTAGCTGTGGATAGGAAACAGCCCCGTCCCAGCAGGACTGCTCTGCTTTCTGCAGGCTAACAAGCTTGTAGCTCCGAGACCAAACCTCTTGGAGAAAATGGGTGCAGAGGGGCAAATGCCGGAAATCTCATGCCTCCAGTCTCCTGGAAAAACTTGCTCTAAGCAGTAATTCCAGGTGAGGAGTGAGTGGAGTGACAGCCTTCCTGAGACGGCCTTCTCTACGCCTTTCAGCTCCGCTCAGCATCAATCCAGGGTTGAATGCATTTTTTAAGACCTGTCTACAGCTGTTGCATCTGAAATTTTATTGCCATCCCAATTATGATCATACGAGCAGCCAGCAAAGAAAGCAAAATGCCATTACAGGGTGAAATAGCGCTTGACATTGCATTATATACCCTCATCCTGCCAGGCAGGAGTGAGACCAAACTACCTCTGCTATAATGAGTCACTGAGAGGGGAGGGGGACTGGGGATATCTTTGCAGCACTGAGTGCTACAGAGAGCAGGTCCCAAATCCGCCGTAGTCCAGGCACCAAAACCTCTGCAAGGCACCTGCCAGCATCCCCAGCTCCTCCAAACCTGCATCCATGTCTGGGGGATGAACTGGGAATAAAGCAGTGTAAGATGTAAAACAGCAGGATCCAGAGCTGCAGCCAGCCATGCTATGAGCATGTCGGTTCCCCAGCCTGTTCCCAGGCTTCAGCTGTGTCAAACTGATGTTTCCTCACTGGAAACTTCAGTGGAGTAATATTTGGAGCGAGACACGCTGGCATCAGGCACCAGAACTATGGCTTTGGGGCATCAGCTGTGGCTGTGGGATCAGGAGAACATCTCCCTTCCCATATGCAGTCCCAAAGAGGCTTCCAGAAGGCAGAAACCTCCATGGCGAGGAGGCCGGGCTGGATTTGGGAGGGGATGGAGGAGGCAGAGCTGGGCAAGCAGGGGTGCTCAGGGCTGCAGCACAAGCACGGTTGGTAGCCAGATTATGGCCTCCAAGCCCGGGGCCTGTGCCTAGAGCAGTGCCCGAGGCAGGCTTGTTCGCCTCGTTCTGCAGCCAGGCGGTGATTGCGTCCCAGACCTTTCGTGGAGTATCAGCTGCTGCCAGATGCAGCACCCAGGTGTAAATGCTCAACACGAGGCTGCAGGTTGTCACCCCGCTCTCAGCAGCTGCGTGCCAGGAGCCGTGCCGAGCCAGGCCACCGCCTCTTGCTGGGCTCAGGCATGGCTCTGCCCTGTGGGACTGTATCACTTAACTCCTGGTCTGGCATCTTGACAACACAGAAAGGGCAAAGCCTCCAGAGCTCTGCCTGCGCTCCTGCCCTTTCCCAGGACTATGTAGGTGGAGCCGCCGGACTCCCAAATCCCTGTCCACCTCTGCAAAACCTGTTTGCACATCTCAGCCCCAGCCAGAGTCCCACCGCTCCTTGGAGCGACCCCTCCTGTGATGCCGCGTGCACGGCCTCCCGGGGTGATTAAAGATGGGGTCCCTGCTCCTCTCTGTCCAGCAACCTCAAAGCGATTACTAGAGCCCCGAGCTTAGCATCGAATTGTCACTTGAGTTACTTCTTGCTCATTTTGGGGATGCGGCAACGGCAAGAGATTTCTCCGCTGTTACGTGGAATAAACTTCACGGCCCCAGGCTTAGCGGTATGGAGCGCTTAAAGCTGCAAAGAGGAGGGCGAGGGGAGAGGAGGGAGCTAATGCCACAAAGCGGAGATGGTAATGAGCTAGAAATGAGCTGGATTTCAAGCATCCCAGCATCAAAGCCTCCTGAGATGCCAGCTTTCACCCCAGCTCGTTAGAGGACCGAACGCAGAACTCACGCTGATCCTGAACCAAGTTTTTTTTACACGTGGCTCTTTTCGACTTCCCTGCCTCCCTGCTTCTCGATCTCAGCCTGCCCTGAGTGCTACCCTCTTCTCGAAGACGACCGGTGCGGCAGCCCAAAGGGGCAGGTTTACTGCCATGCCCACAGAAGCTCTCTGCTCTTCCTGCTTGGCAGGACAGGGCACGGAGGCACAGGATTTTGTCTAGCAAACAGGGCCCAAACTCCCTCTCCTGTGCTCATCCCCTGTGTTGCCTGCACCCCTCCGCTGGGCTTCACCACTGGCCGGGAGGCTCGGTTCGCACCCTCCGGCTCCTGCAAAGCCACCCAGCGCGGGCAGGAGGAGGGCAAGCCCCGACCTTAGCGCCTCGCCCTGAGCCCCGGCGAGCACTCACCGTTCTGCAGGTCTGGCTCTGCATCGGCATTTGGCCCTGCTGCGGCATTCGAGGCTACGGAGGTTTAAATGGCAAAGCGTCCAGCACAGCCAGCCATGGCTCCTCTGGATAAAACAGCACAAGGAAAAGACTGTAAATTACCTTTACAGACCACAGGGTCCAGCACAGAGATCCTGAAAAAATGCCCCTGAGCCCAAGGTCATGGTGCACAGCCACAGACAGGGTAACGTCCCAGCTTGGGAGGGGAAGCAGCCTTACCCTCGCTCTAGCCTGACGTGTGATCTGAACACCGTGAGTCTCCTAATTATATAGTGCTTTGCACCCTGAAGGATCCCCTTACACACAGGACAGAGCCTGAGCCCAGCACCACAGGCAGCCAGCTCTGGGGTGGAGGAAGGGCGCGCGCAGCAACGCTCGCCAGGAATCACACGTGGGGATTTCA